CACGCAGAAAGATCTCGGGTGTCCTCACCAGGACGCGAACCGCCGACCTTCTTGCTGCGAGGCGACGGTGCTAACCACCAAGCCATCTTGCAGCTCCTTTTAAAATAAAAATATTTAAAATTAAAAACAGGAGCATTTAAAAATAAAAGTTTTTTTTGTATTTGTCTCTCAAAATATATTTATTTCTAATTTGTTTTTGAACATTTGTATTATCAAGTGTATTAGATTTTTGACATATGATTTTTTATCAGTATTTGTTCATTTTCACTTTAATTTTGTTCTTTAAAATCAAATAACAACAGCTTAACAACTTCCCAAAATGTTATTTAACCCTATAAACCCCCAAAACATGCTCATAGGTTTGATGCCTGTTTTTCTTTTTTAAATCACCACATTTACACTATTTATCTGCCTTAAATTGTAACAACAGAGGGAATTGTTGGGCTTTAACATTTCTGATGGCCCTTGAACTAATCAGGTGACCAAAACGTAACCAAATCTAAGCTTATATTTGGGATATTTATTCAAATTCACTTTGTTGTATGCCTTATGTTTTTGGTTTTTTTTTAAAGTACGAAAAGAAAACCACTAGATTCCGAATTAAAGGATGTTGTTGAAAGATACATTAGGCATGGTACAACATCTCTCTAGTAAAGTGAAAAACACAGAGTTTGTAGACATCTATGACATTATAACTGTGCCATACAGCACATAAGAAATTTCTGAATTCCCTCTCCTTCTAGTCAAGGTTGTACTGTATCCATGGAGGTGCAGGACTTTATATTACACTTATAATTAAAGCCCACAGTGAGGAAAAATGTGAAAAAGAAATATTGTTAAAGCACAAGCTGATTTTCAAACCATCTCCCATGAACTCTCTGGTGAGCAGGATGTCATACGTTGAGTAGTTAGTATACCTCATTATGCCTACATACTTCTATTTAAGTAACATTTTAAATGCAGGATTTTTTATTGTATTTTTACTAACAAAGTACTGACTAACTAATGAATGACTTATCATTTTTAAATACATGAACAAACACAAAGTATGTGATAACAGAGGGAATTGTTGGGCTTTAAAGTTTCTGATGGCTCTTGAACTAATCAGGCAACCAAAACGTAACCAAATCTAAGCTTAAAATTGAGATTTTTTTATCAAATCCACTTTATTCTACATGTCTTATGTTTAAAAAAATACAAATAAATAAAAAATAAAAGAAACCCATGAGATTACGAATTAAAGGATGTTGTGTAAAAATACATTAAGCATGATACAACATCTCTCTAGTAGAGGGAAAAACACAGAGTTTGTAGAGATTGTAAAATAAAGAATCAGACAAATTCAACCTTTGTTTTATCTTTTCAATCATTTATGACATTATAACTGTGTCATACAGCACACAAGACATTTCTGAGTTCTTTCTCCTTCTAGTCAAGGTTGTGCTGTTTCCATGGAGGTACAGGACTTTATATTACAGTTATAATTAAAGCCCACAGTGAGGAAAAAAGGCCCACAAACTGCCACTTGTTCAGAGCGTTGACTTATTGTTAAAGGTGATTTTCAAACCAGTATTTCCTGTGAACTCTCTGATGAGCAGGATGTCAGTACGTTCTGTTCTTAGTCTGATCTGCATGAATTATTTGACAGCATGGTTGCTTTTACAAAGCTGCTCATCTGCAGATATTTAAATAAATGTTTTCTAAAGCTCTGTATAAGACCTCATGATATCGGAGTTTGGTGGATGCAGATCCTGAATCTCTTTAAGCCTTTAAGAAGCTCAGA